TAACCGCATAATCTAATCCTGAATTAATCAAAGGCAGAGCAGTACATCGATTTCACTCTGGCTTTAAATCTTAAATTACCTCTCTGATTATAACCTCCCTGTGTTACATGGGTAACAACAAGATTGTGACAGAACCAATGAATCTGTCTTTTCAAACACTTGTTTCCTGAAAGCTTAAGATACTTGCATGGAAGTTTGTTTCCCAAGAGTTCAACTTGCCAGAGAGTTTCAGGCCTTCGTGATGGATCCACTTTATTTATACAAGATTTTACAATGAAACAAGGTGTGACAGGGTCCTTGGAGTACAGCCTGGGATTGTGGGACCATTGTGTCCCCTTAATTCTTCAGCATGGGCTGCCTCTCACAAAGCTTTCCTAGCAACAAGCAGCAAACCCTTCCAGGAAGCAAAACCTTCCACTCAGCACAGCCGCACGTAGAGCCCCACGCCCAGCTAGATTATATGAATGCTTCCAGAGCAACTCATGAATCTCAGAGAAAGGGACCAGCCAAATCCCCCCAGCTCCCGGCCTGGTACTGGGGAACATAAAATGTCTTGTACTGCTCAAGACAAGCAGTGGAAATGTATTAATGGGTTCATCACTTCATCAATGGAAAGTAGATACACACCAGCTTTTGTAAACCTGAGCTGATTTACCGATCACTTCAGATAAACTCACTGGTAAAGATGAACAGTAAAACAAGTTTATTGACTAAAAAGATAAGAGTTGAAGTGATAGCCAAAAAGTGAAAGTGGCTACCAAAAGAAAATACAAACATGCAGTCTAAAATCTGAGTCCTATTAGACTGTGCAATATCTAATTTACAGAGTTTCTCTGACCTCTTTGGACATTGTAGTTCATAGTACACAGGTTTCACCCTTGAAACCTGGGCCTGTCTCCTCTGTTGGAGTCTTCAGAGCTTCCTAGTTGCTTGCAGCGTAGGTGGGTGAAGGAGAAAGACCAAGAATGAGGCCCCTGTATTCCGTTTTATATCCTTAGTCCATATGCTTAGAGAACATAAATCCAGGCATGTCTGGTGGGCACTGCCAAGTCCCCAGGCAAGGCTGAGCAATTTCCTTAGTGTGGCCTTGTGCAAGAAAATCACTGCATTGCAGTAGCCGTGCAAGACAATGGTTACTGATGGGTGTTCAACACCCCTGTGTAGATAGCTCCTTTTTGCACAAGCCCCCCCCCCCTTGCACAAGAGCCGTTCTAATTTTTTCAGAAAATTTCTTGCTGATAATTTCATTCTTGCTATCATCTCACACAGCTGTGGGCATCAGGGCTGCTCTCCTCTCTCTACATATCACAGAGGAGAATCAGTGTTCTAACACTGCACAGTCTGGCCATGCCTCCTTTGCTCATCAGATGAGTTATTCCCAGGCTGTAAAACTAGCAGAATGTTATTTCAATATCTCTGGAATATTTGTTAATAACCGCACACAGACTAAGGAAGATGATCACATGCTACTGATACCACTTCATATCTGATCCTTGACTCACGAGCCAACTTTGGTGGGTAGAATTGTGGAAGACGTAACTAGAAAAAACAAAATTATTAGTAAGAACATGCGATAGTATCCCTCCCTATTTGTATTTGCTCAAAGGGCTAAATCATTTCTGTACCACTGCCTACAGCAGCTTGCCGCCACAGGAGGCCAATGGAGAAGACATGTAGTCTACCTTGTAGCACTTAATAAGGAGGGTAATATTTGATCAGGCAGATACCTCACAAATTTCTCCTTGTATGGATTAGCTCTCTGCCCAGGAGGTCGCCAGGGATCACATGAAATGTGCCCTGACTTTCTGGAACTGGAATCTCTGATGCCTTTTACACTTTCACAAAGCATAGTCCAATGCACCTAGCAATAAAGCACCTGGAAACTGAATCCTTGGCATTTCAGATGTAAGGATACAAACAGGGCATCCGATCTCCTTGTGCACACTGTATATTTGAGATAAATTTTCAGAGCCCTTCTGATATCTAGAAAGTGACACCTCTTTTTGGTGGTATGACGTGGCTGTGGAGAGAATGGAGGTAAAGTTCTCTCTTAGGAAGCATGGAAAGAAGAGTTCACACCTTCAGAATAAAGGATTCTGGAGTTCCGAGCACCACCCTGTCCTTATGAAATATGCACTAAGGTTCTTGCAAAGAATGCTGATGGCTCCAATACTTGTCCCTGTCAGAACATGTTTTTATGCAAATCCAACATTGACATCAGTGGCTTGAAGGGATAGTGTGTTAGGGTTCTCAGTACAGTGCAGTAGGGAAAAGGAGATCTAGTGGCCATCTTGAATATCCAGACTACCAGCTGGCTGTTCTCTGCTAGAGAAGAAATTCCTCACTTTGTGCAGAAATAATGGTTCTTTGAGATGTGTCCTTGTGGGTGCATCACTTCAGCTGTTGGTGCATCCTCATGCTGGCGATCTGAGAATTTTTTTAGCCGTGTCTGGTTGTGCAGCCCATCCACAGCAGCCACCTCACGGTGCTACTGATTGCGTGCACGATGCAGCCCCTGTTCCTTCTCTACTGTGGAATCAAGGATTTGGATTTTTAAGTAGAAGGGCGAGTAGTGGAGCACGCACAGGGACACCCATCTTGAAGATCTATTGTAACTGCACAAAGTAACTACTACTTCATGTGCTGTTCCTGTGGGTGCTTCACTTCTAGTATCTATAGAACAGTGCCCAGTTGGAGGGGAGGCTTTACATATAGAGCATTGCCTGGATTTAACCCAGTGTTTTTTTAGCTGCCCTGCCAGCCAGTAAGAAGAAGAGCTAGTAGGGAGACCATGCAGTGGAGGCTTAAATGACCTAGGGAGAAGCACTGCTCCTCCCTTGCCCTCCCCCAAATGGACAGAAAAGGGAAAACAGAAAGTGTAAGGGCAGAAGAAACCACCATCTGCTGCTTCTGTGGAGGCAAAGAAACTGGCAGCAACCAAAAGTAAAGGGGTCAGGGACACCCCATGCAGCACCTAAATGCTGACCCACTTCCATGAGTGGTAGAGATAGGAGAGCAGCCCAGATATCCAAAATTATGAGAGACAGTGACACTGACGTGCAGCAAAATGCTTGGATGGTAGCATATGTTTGTTGTCAACCGGGACTAGTACAGCACTTTCAATATGTCTGTTTTGACAACATGAACAGTTGTTTTCAAAAACATTTCACACTTTTATTCCATGCGCTTCAAGTTTTTAGAGCCCTAAAACAGTGGTTTTGTATGTTATCTAGAACCTATTTGATCTAATTTAGGAAAACTGCTTCACATCTGGCTCTCTGCTTTAGTGCTCAGCAATTTTTGCAGGAAGAGTCTCAAGCACTCTTCACTTCAAACAATAGGGGATTCCACAGACAAAGAACATACAATATGAAAAACAAGGGGTGTTTATTTAATAGTATTTTTAATTAAAATTTCTCTCTGCCCAAAACATTGTCACTGAACAGAAGTGGATCTAAAACTATCATTCTAGAGGGGAAGTGCATCATGTTGTGCAGAGCAGTATTTGGTCCTGCACAAGTTGCCAACACAACGTTAATATAGCTTTGGGTTGGATTTTAACTTGATACAATGTTAGAAAGAAAATCCTTACAACTAAATGTCATCTGAAAAGATGCTGATAAGAATAAATCTCAGCAACTTCAATGAGAATTTATTAGCTTATCCACCAACACCGTAAATTGGCCTTGCTGTCTATAATATGTAACAATTCAGGTTGTTCCTTCTGGGATCCTTATATTCTTGGAAAATTTCTAATCTTTGCAACTGACCTGAAAATTTCAGACTGAGGCAAACTATGAGCAGATTTGCAGAAATCTCTACTGCTGCAGAAGAGCAAACTAGTTGTAATAAGCAAAAGGCTGTCTGCAAGGCTGCTGAATGACACCTTTAGGTGTAGCACAGATAGCAGCATAGCAAGGCATCTAATTCTATATAAAGCATCCAGTAGATGAGGTAGGACTGAAGTCATGTGGAAAAAAATAGTATGCAACGGGGCTACATTAAGGGAGGGTTGAAAAAGGTTGTTGAATTAAGGTTGAACTGGAAATCTTAATTCTAGCATTTCCTAATCTTTAGAGACCTAGACTTTGCAGCCTTACATTCTAGTCACGTGGTCTTTTCATAATTAGATTTTATATATCTACTTCAATAGATAAGTAACCTGCATACAATTTTAGCTCTGCTACTATGAAAAGCTGTGGAAATAATAAAAAGGAAGCCATGCAGTCAATTATTCTAAATCTGAAGATCATCTTTCTCCTGCCCCCATACAGTTTTTTTGGGTAATAATCACTACAGCAGCAACAAATAGCACATGTGCACTTGCACGCGACACACACTCAAAATAAATTAAAACCAATACATCTGTATATACACTTTTATTAAACAAGGTAATTTTAGCTTAACTGAACAAGGCAGTGGGAAATACAAGGACTGGGGCATATACATGACAACTTACAACATCTTGACAGAAATAAATGGCAGGTGACTTATATACAGCTGCATGTAATACAGGTTACAACTCTACTGTATTTTAATTTAACACAGTCCTAAGCTCTTACATTATGAAAACATTATGAAAATATGCAGAAGTTGGATCATACAGAGGTCTAGTAGTCTAAAAACCTCCATACCTCTCAAATTCTGCCCACAAAGTTTCTATTTTACAGAACAGCCATTACACCTTCCTGTCTTTACTGTTACGGTACATGAAATATCAAAAATATATTGATGAGTCTATCACTAACCATGAATGTTTGTATTTACATTCAAGTTAAATTCCTCACCAAATGCTTTATATACAAATCTCAATTTACCCTTTATGAAAGTCATTAAAAAGTTAAAAACCATACAAATGCCAATTAGAAATAAAAACATTCCAAAAACTGAACTTGTTTACAACAATTCAGAACATTTGAAACAAATTTATGAAAAGTGTGTTACTTTAATACACGCATTCTCACAATTCTTCAGCTCCAATACAGCGCAACAATATTTTGCTCTCAATACATTCTGTGCAGCATCCTCTCTTCCAACATTGCTGTAGGAAAAAAAATTAAATAATCAACTGAGGGAAAATATTTTTCATGAAGTCCGTAATATATTTTGTAATTTGACAGATACATGTTTGTTGCATTTGATGGAAGGGTCACAGGCACTTTCCCAAGGCAGTACAGGTGGTCATCACTGTCCAGAAAGGCAACCTTTTAAAGACAGTTAATCTCGGCATAATCTAATTTCCACATCAGAATGCACATAAATAGAGCCCTACAAATCCACAAGTTTTATATCCATGGGTATCTGCATCCACAGACGTGGACAGCTGCAGCTTGTTTTTGCAGATACAGATAGCGGATACAAATTTTGCAACCGTGCATGGCTCTACACATAAGTCCCCAGAGAGACAGATTTTAACTATTCGTTAATGTTTTTAATAGTTGTATTGGTATAAGCTACACTAAAGATAAAACCGATAAACATGAATATTTACAGGTTTGAAGGATCAGGCTGAAGAGAAAGAAGCAGCTCTGAACACTGGTGGTTCAGACATAGGCCATGTGGCAGTAAGGAGCTGAAGAGGCAGTCAGTCCTCCCCACCCCCTTATGTACTTATAAGAAGTGTAGGGGCACAGGCACTGAATTATAAACACTGCTTGCAAAAAATTCACTAGTCTAAGGCACATGAACATCCACAGCAGAATACAGAGAGGGACCAGCATTCAAAGAACTTCTTTTTTGGCTTTCCTACTCCCACCACAACCGTGTGCATGAGAAAGCAGAGCACAGCTCCTGTTCCCTTTCAGCCACCTTCAATCAGTAGCTACATAAAATTGCTTCCCGGGTTTTCAAACTTTTTTTCCCTGTGACCCAGCTGAAGAAAATGATTGAGGCCCACAACCTAACATATTTATACCTTTTGACTAGAATGCAAGCTCCAAGGTGGAGCTGGGGATGAGAGATTTGGAGTGCAGAAGGGGACTCCGGGCTGGGGAGGGCTCAGGGCAGGAGACTGGGGTGCAGGCTTACCTCCAGCAGCTCCTGGTCAAGAACACAGCAGGGGTGCTAAGGCAGACTCCACGCCTGTCCTGGCACCGTGGACTGTGCTGCACCCCAAAAGCAGCCAGAAGATCTGGCTCCTAGGCAAAGGTACGCAAGTAGCTCTGCGTGCTGCTCTCACCTGCAGGCACCACTCCCTGGCTCCTATTGGCCAGGACAGGCAAGAGGCATGCCTTAGCACCCCTGCAGGTCGCCTGGTTACTGTGCAGCAAGATGACCCAGTGCATGACATTCCACGACCCAATAGTGGGCTGCAACACGTACTTTGAAAACCACTGCTTTACACCATGCAATGGCATACATGCTGTACATTAATGGGTGCAAATTACTATGTAGTAATTTAGCTCATTAACAAGATGTTTTAGAGTTCTCATTTCTTACCAATCTAATTAGTGCTCTGGCGCTGGACTTTCAACCCAGTGCTCTGAGTTTCCTTTTCTGGATTTGGGCGTTTCCCAGTGCTGATGCCAGTGCTTCCTGTTCTTCCTGTAAAATGAAATCAATATCTAACTTGAGAAACTACTTTGCTTTGTATGTATCCAAATGGCATCTTTTAGAATGCAAGTCACCTTGTTGCAGTAAATGTGATTGCTGATTGTCTCCATGGGCATAATGTAAAATACTGCTCCCTTGAGAGTAACCTGTTAAAATACAATACACATTTACTTCAATCATTCTTGTGTTTCTCTTTTATTTATTACAATTATATGTTTGTATCCACAGAGCTTTTGGATCAACAATGGAACCCAAAACTCTGAATTCCCGAACACAGATGCCTGGAAAGAAAACATTCTTGTTTGCAGAAAAATCTTCAAAAGTTCTCTCAAGATAAAGACCAGTTATTCGCGCCCCCCCCCCTTCCCACACACACAGTCTTCCCTTCGTGAATTACTACAAACTATAATTTTGTTAATACTCATTCACGTCATCTTCTTTACTATTTAATTAAAATAACAGTCAACAGCACAACTGAACTGGGAAAATATGAAAGTAAATTTCAAGAAATTGTTTCATCATCATCTTATATTATTATTTATATTATCAAACTACCTAGGAGCCTCAGTTCTGAACCAGAAGCTTTTGTTTCACTTCAACTGCTTGATAGCCCTCAAGGCTGGAATCTTTAATCAACAGATCATGAACAGCCAAAGCAAGAGTAAGTTTTCCTATTCTGCCCAAACATGTGCTTCATATGGAATGAGAGTGAAGTCCTGTCTCTGAATCTCTTCTGCCAACCCTTAACCTCTACTGAGACTGAAATGGAAGGCCAACGAGGGTAAGAATTGTGTCATGTGGACACCTGTTTGACAAAAAGCGTCCCAAGACTTCTTGTTCTTTAGAAGAAGAGGTTACTTACCTCGTAACTGTAGTTCTTCAAGATGTGTTGCTCATGTCCATTCTGATTAGGTGTACGCGAGCCGCATGCACTGATTCCAGAGCTTTTTTCCCTTAGCAGTATCCATAGGGCCAGCAGGGAGCCCCCTGGAGTGGCACCGGTATACCGGTGCATATATACCCCTGCTGGCCCTCCCACCCCTCAGTTCCTTCTTGCTGGCTCCTTCCGACACAGGGAGGTGGGTGGGATGCAGAATGGACATGAGCAACACATCTTGAAGAACTACAGTTACGAGGTAAGTAACCTCTTCTTCTAAAGAACAAGAAGTCTTGGGACGCTTTTTGTCAAACAGGTGTCCACATGACACAATTCTTACCCTCGTTGGCCTTCCATTTCAGTCTCAGTAGAGGTTAAGGGTTGGCAGAAGAGATTCAGAGACAGGGGCTGCGTGATTGCATAATGTTCTGCAAAGGTGTGCACCGATGGCCAGGTTGCTGCCCTGCAGATCTCCAAGATCGGCACGCAGGCCAGGAACGCCGCCGACGTTGCCTGGTCTCTAGTGGAATGTGCTGTTATGCGCGGCGGTGGTCTACCCGCGACCTCGTAGCACAGTCGAATGCAGGAAGTAATCCACGAGGATATACGCTGTGCCGAGACTGGCTGACCACACATCCTTTCCGCCACTGAAATAAACAATTGAGTTGACTTACGAAACTCTCGTGTCCTATCTATATAAAAAGCCAACGCCCTCCTAACGTCCAGGCAGTGCAGAGCCTGTTCCCTGGGCGACGCGTGTGGCTTAGGGTAAAACACTGGCAGGTAAATATCCTGGGACATGTGGAAGTGTGAGACCACCTTGGGAAGAAATCCCGGGTGTGGACGTAATTCACCTTATCTTTAAAAAAACACTGTGTAAGGTGGTTCTGAGGTGAGAGCCCTAAGCTCTGACACCCGCCTGGCCGAGGTAATGGCCACGAGGAAAGCTACCTTATAGGACAGATGTATTAAAGAGCATGAAGCCAGGGGCTCGAACGCGGGCTTCATAAGGACCGTCAGGACCAGGTTAAGGTCCCAAGCCGGTACCGGAGGCCTCTCATATGGCATCAACCTGTCAACTCCCTTTAGAAACCTTTTAACCAAGGGATTGGCAAAGATAGACCTTTGGCCCCCCCCGGCGTGGAAGGCCGCTATGGCCGCCAGGTACACCCTTAGGGAGGCTGTGGCCAGGCCCTGTTTCCACAGGTGGAGAAGGAATTCCAGGACAATCGGAACCGCCCCTTCACCTGGAGCGAGCGTCCTGCCCTCCAGCCAGGAAGTAACCCTCTTCCACTTAGCCTCGTAAAGGGCTCTAGTGGACGGCTTTCTGCTTTCTAAGAGGACCTCCTGGACTGCTCTGGAGCAGGCTCGCTCCGTCACTGAGAGCCACTGAGGAGCCACGCTGCTAGGCAGAGAGATGGAAGGTTCGGGTGGAGAGCCACCCCAGCCTCGCAGCTCTGAGTGATTAGATCTGGCACTAGGGGTAGCCTGAGCAGGCCCTCCACAGCCAGATAGGCCATACTGGCGCTATCAGGATGATCCGGGCCCTGAACCTCTGCACTCCGAGGAGTGCGTCGTGGATCAGAGGGAATGGGGGGGAAGGCATAGAGTAGGCCCCTGGGCCAGCTGACCTGCAGTGCATCTCCCCGAGAGCCCAGACCGTGCCCCATGTACGAACAGAACTCCCTGCACTTGGCGTTGCTCAGAGTTGCAAACAGGTCCAGGCGGGGAAACCCCCACCTTTGGAAGACCCCGTGAAGTACATCCCACCTTAGCACCCACTCGTGTGCCTGGATCGAACAGCTGAGCCTGTCCTCTAGCCCGTTCCTGGTTCCCGGAAGGTGAGATGCCTCCAGGAAAATACCGTGGGCTATACACAGTTCCCATAGATCTAGGGCTTCCCGGCACAGGGGAGAGGAACGCACCCCACCCTGCTTGTTTATATAGAACAGAGCCGTAGTGTTGTCTGTCAGCACCGCCACCACTCTGTTCTGTAAGTGGGGAAGGAACGCCCTGTAGGCCAACCTGACCGCCCACAGCTCCTTGATATTTATATGGAGGTGAGCCTCCTCTGTTGACCACGTACCTTGCGTCCTGAGGTTGCCCAGGTGAGCGCCCTATCCCACGTCCGAAGCGTCCGTGACCAGCTGCACTGACGGGGACGGCTTGGTGAATCGGACCCCCGCACACACCGTGCCCTCGTCCTTCCACCAGTGCAGGGAACAAAGAATGTCCTGAGGGATAATCACTACTGCATCTAGCGGCGACCTCAAGGGGTTGTGCGCTACCTTGAGCCACCACTGCAATGGGCGCATGCGTAGCCTGGCGTGTTGGACCATGTAAGTGCCCGCCGCCATGTGGCCTAGGAGCCTCATGCAGGTCCTCGCCGTCGTAGTCGGGAACTCCCACAGTCCCACTACCAGAGAGCAAATGGTCATAAATCTGTCTCTCGGTAGGAACGCCTTGCCCAAAGGCGAGTCCAGATGGGCCCCCACAAAGTCTATGACTTGCGTAGGCTCTAGCAGTGATTTGGCCTTGTTTATGAGGACCTACTACCAGACAGCGAATGGTCATAAATCTGTCTCTCGGTAGGGACGCCTTGCCCAAAGGCGAGTCCAGATGGGCCCCCACAAAGTCTATGACTTGCGTGGGATCTAGCAATGACTTGGCCTCGTTTATGAGGAGGCCAAGACTCTCGAACAAAACCCTGGCCCTTGAGACATGATCCAACACCTGTTCTCGAGACTTGCCCCTTATGAGCCAATCGTCCAGATATGGAAACACTTGGACCCTGTGCCACCACAGAAACGCAGCTACCACCGTCATACATTTGGTAAAGACTCTCTGGGCTGTACACAGTCCAAACGGGAGGACCGTAAGCTGGAAGTGGTCCTGTCCCACTGTGAACCGTAGGAATTTTCTGTGACTCGGAAAAATTGAAATGTGGAAGTACGCATCCTTCAAATCGAGAGCAGCATACCAGTCCCCCTTTCTGAGTGATGGGATGATGCAGGCTAGCGTCACCATCCTGAACTTTGCCTTCCTTATAAAGGTGTTCAGGTTTCGGAGGTCTAGTATGGGACGCATGCCCCCTTTCGCCTTGGGTACTAGGAAGTAGCG